TTATATGATTTAAATTATATTTAAAATTGTATATATAAATAAATTTAAATTTAATTATTATATTTATATTATATATTTAATAATATAATTTAATTTAGTTTAAGTATGTTATTTTTAAGATTAAATGTATATATAAAATTTGTATTATTATTTGTTTACTTAATTTTATAAATAATTATAAAATATATTAAGAAAATTGAATTTATATATTAAAAAAATAAAAAATAAAATAAGATGGTTTAGTAAATAGAATTTAATTAATATTTTAAAAATAGTTTATTAAAAAAAATAAATTAAATAAAATAAAATGAATATTTTATAAATGTATATTTAAAAAAAAAAAAAAAAAAAAAAAAGGTATTCTATGAATTTTAATTAGTATAAAATTAAATTATATTATAAAAATAAAATATTATATTATAAATTATATTAAAATTATTAGTATAGAATTTTAAATTATAAAAATTAATATTTATCAAATTAAATTATAGAAATATAATTTTAATATTATATATAATTTATATATATTTATAATATATTAGTGGGGGGTTGTTCCTTGCTAGTAGTATGCGAGATGAAGCGCTTAATAGGAGAATAGCACAATCAAAATATAACATAAAAAAATATTCTAATTAAGAATGATAGATAAATATATATGATTATATTTACACAAGAAGCAATAGGCAGACAGACCGGGCAAGTGTTTGACGAAAAACGGTCTCGGAATATTTCGAGAAAATGGTGGATAATTATAAGTTTCCTAAATTTCGTTTGCAAAATGTATATCATTCTTCAAATACAGGTCGCGAAGCATTAAGGGCCGGGCTAATCGCTCTCAGATGCGCCTGGAAAAAGGCCTACGTCGCTAAGGGTCGCTCGATAAAGTCATACCAAAGACCAGCCATGGATTGGTGGTTTACATTGGTTGTTTGGATCGGTGTTTTGGATTTTAGAAGGTGGTTTCCTATTTAATTTCAATATATTCCAGGGGTTCAATTCCCAAATCACCAATCCAAACCAATAATTAGGGGATAAGTTAAGGCGGTTACCAAAAAACGGAAAGTAATTATAAGAAAGAGTTCCAAAAAATTCCAACCCGTCAAAAATAGCCCATAAACCGAAATCAGAGCGTCCACAAAGACATGATATCACGAAGTTTCATGTATTCTTCCCAAAGCATCGTATGAGCCGAGCTCTCAGGGCCAAGGTCCAGGCCGTAATGGATATACCAAAAATAGAATAAATTTTGTGGAGCCCGTATCGGCAAGACATTTTTTGCAAAACGGGGACTAAAATATTTTATTTATATATTAAAAAATATAGAATGTTCGTATGCCAAATGCATGCCGTTCTCCAAACACAAGTCGCGAGATGCACTGAGGCCCGGGCTAATCGCTCTCAAATACGCCTGGAAAAAGATGCTTGTGTCGCTTAGGGCGTATTGGTACAGGGTAGGATCGTAATACAAATGAATATAGATGATTTTTTTTTAAAATAATGGTTCATATCCAGAAATACGGACATTGGGTCATCGAAAAACATATAAGGCCCCATCCCTGGCCTACCCTATCTTGGGGAGTATATGTTTGATTTTCTCTGGTTACTATTCCTAAGGATATATAGTTCCGTCATACTACCGGCATAAATCTCGCAGTTTCGAACGACAACCAAAATGAGCCTCGAACCTTTGCCTTAGAACCTACCCAAGCAAAATATTTCGAAAGATTACAGTCTGTATTAAACTAGGGACCCAAAAATTTAAAGGCGAGTTATAGATGGAATTTCTCAGCAATGTCTCAATATATTTCCTAAAGCATTACGATAAACAAAGCAAAAAAATGCCTCAAACGTCCGATACCAACGTGTAAACACATAGTCTGTAAAAGGCGATCGCCTAAGCAAGGTAAGAACAAACCCGTAGATTATTAACCTCAAAAAAATCTATGGCCGCGGTTTAAAGCTTCTCATATCGCCAAACTCGCAAGAGGGGCGCAATATATCAACCAAAATGGCTATGGAATATCTAAATAAATTGGTTTTCTATCCTCCCAGAAAACGTCCTTCACCAGTGTTTTCGTTCCATAGCAAGCCAAGTCAATGCGATTTCGATTAACCTGAAAATCATGCGTTCGAATCTCTCGAACTAAGTCAATATCGGCCAGCTTCACCATCTCGTCATTAACCTTAATCTTGTTACTTGGATACCCTTTTATAACATCCTTTTTGGAGCTAAACCAAAAGAAGGAAACCTCGAAAAGGAGGGCTTCGATTCCAATTTTGAGACTCTCTAAAAAATGGTTTCTTATTCCTCCATAAGCCTTTGAGCCAAAATAGGCCGAGGCAGTGACCAGGAAATTTTCGGGCTTCATATCCCAATAATATATATCAATAATCTATCGCTAAATTATTCAGATTTAAAACGATCCAACTTAGATAATCTAAGACATAATATTCTTGCTCTCGGGTATCATACGCACCTATATGCGGTATCTTCCAGTTTCCGTGAGCGGGCCCTAGACAATTCATAGAGGTTAGCCTCCGCAATATCAGTTTTCCCCAATTAATATTTTGGATTAATAAGCTAAATCGTGTTAAAGAATTGTTTTCCTATTTAATTTCAAAAATTTAATTCCCAAATCACCAATCCAAATCAGTAATTAAAAGTAAATTGAGGCGGGTGCTAAAAGAACAAAAGCAATCATCAAGAATAACCCATAAATCGAGACTAGAGCGCATTCTTCCCAAAACATCGCATAAACCAAATTCTCAAGGGCCAAAATCCAGGCCGAGGTAAATATACCAAAAACAGAATAAATCTTATAGAGTCCGCGCCAATATTTTGTTTTTTGCAATTCAAACACCAACATATTTTATTATATATATCAAAAAATATATAATTTTTATATCTAAAATAGTTATCATTCTCCAAGCATAAATTACGAAATGCATTAAAAACCAAACTAATAACGAAAAAGGTTTCCCAAAAAATAGTTTCTTCATATAAAAAGAAATTCCCTCATATCACAAAAATAAAGAAAAACCTCTTAATCCCATAACCCAAATAAATAAAAAAAAATATATTATCTAAATAAAATAATAAAAATCCTAAAATTCAACCAAAATAATTATAAATAAATAATTTAAATACCATAATAATTCTATTCAAAATCCAAACCATATTTCAATAATAATATTCAAAAAATAAAAAAATTCTCAAAAATAATCTCTACCAAAAATAAAATTCTTATATATTCCAAATCATAACCAAAATACCCCAAACAATTTTTCAAAATAAATCATAAAAAATAAAAACAATTACATCTTCCAAACATAACCCAATTTTCCAAAATATCCTCAAAAGTTTCTTTTATAAAATAAATAAATTTAAAAAAAAAAAATAAAAAAAAAATAGTTTGTATAAAATATATATATATAACAAAATAAACCGAAAAATCTATAATATTAATATCGAAAATCTAAATTATATTTATAAAAAATTATGTTATTAAATCCAGATTATTAATTATATATCGGCTAACAAAGAGCTATGTAATGCTATGTATATATAGTTCAAACGGTTCCTACAATATATAAATTCGGGCCATCCGGAAGTCGAGAATTTGAAAAGCCACCGTAAGTTGATGATGCCCATGTGTCTTGGCGCGGCAAGCACTCCTCTTTATGTGGAAAGCCCTTCTATAGAAAGGCCTGGTGTTTCGGGAAACGTCAGAGCTCTGATTCTGAATCAGAGAAGTGAAATATTGATTGAGAATCAGCACCTTTAATGAAGAATTATCGTTCCTGTACAATCCATGACCCTTGCAATCGTGCGAGGGTTCTGTCCTGACTCCAAAGTCAAAAGCCGAAACCGACATTCCTCACGTGTGCAAGCTCAAAAGATCTCACGAGCGAGGTGCAAACCTATTGACTGATGCGAGCAGCATCAGTGTACGCTTTCTGCTTGCACCAGCATGAGACTGCTGCATTTCACACGCGGCGTTGAGATCTAATGCGCAAGTATGGGTAGAACTATTTTCATTTGCTCTCAATGCTGACCATTGTGCCTGACCTGCGTTGCGTGCCTGTGGGCGGCACTCACCCGTAAGCCCCGGCGCTTTCGCTGGGCTTGCCAGACCCTTGCCTGCGCGACATGAGCGGCACGAGGGGAAGGTGGACTAGAGCAATAACAACTAAATCTGTCTTCCAAATTGCGGCGACTGGTAGTGTTTAAGCTATACCATGCCTTGAGGGACACCTCACTGAGCCAACCTCTGTGCAAACACCAGATGCGCAATTTGTTCACCTGGGGTCTAACTTCTTAAAGGAACAGGTTTACTGCATTGTTGCGTTCTTTAGCCGATCTCTGCCATGCATTCCCCTGTCCGGCTCTCGAGCACTTGTGCTCTTCAGCCTTTCTATGCCGCCGGTTCCCCACCTGTCCGGTTTTTGCGGTTTTTGCGCACAAGCTTGTGCTCTTTAGACTCTAGACTTTGTATGCCAGCGATTCCCCGCCTGTCCAGTTTTCGGAGCAGTTATGCTCTTCAGCCTTTCTATGCCATGGGTTCCCCATTAAAGAAGAGCCAACTAGGAAGCCAATAGCTATCGCGCGGAAGATTTTGAACAACCATCTCGCCTCTGGATTCATTTTGAACACGTTCCCACGCCCCTTTCCCCAACACTTTGACTCTGAAAAAGCCGGTCCAAACGCGGACCGGGTGGTGGGGAGCGAGCCGTTTTCAATTAGTGATCAATCTTTCATGCTGAAGCGCCATTCGCCCCCCCCCCCCCCAAATAGCTGATAAATCACAGCGGAAGTTGCTGCCTCTACACTTGCTAAAGCAAGAAAGAACTCCAGGTTAGCTATCGCTACCTTTCGTGATTAGCTGGCCAGCAGAGATGTACAGTAAGGCCCGAAGCAAGACCGAGGGTTTCGTCAAAACTGTAGCCATGTTGTCTCTGAGTTTGAGGGACACACTCTGCCTCTCTGCTTGGAGCAGCATCTATTCCTCCAGCACAAAGTAGCTTCCAGCGTGCTTTTGCTCGCGATCCTGCACAAAACACACCAACGCCGAAGGTGGGGGGGGGATGCATAATCTGCACGGGACTGAATGATCCGTCCGAACCTTGACGGACTCAGCTTTATTGATGCGCGGTCTGTAATTGGTGGGGTCGCGGCCTGGCGTGCTTCGATAAGAAGTTAGCGCAGGGGGGGAGCTGTGGGTGAAAAAATAGGCAAGTAGACTAAAACCTGCTGTCCGCTGATGGTTTAGTTTGACCCATTCCCAGAAGTCGCAGCATGGGAGGGCAGTGGTCCCTATGAGCGCATGGCGGAAAGTGATCTCCAGCTGGGCCAAGAACTTGTTCATGCCCTGCGAACTGGCTGACAAGAAGTCTCTTGTGGGCTCATGCCAGCCTCCAGCAGGGACATGGGGGCAGATGCCGTGCAGTGAATGCCAGGCCTGGCAGTGCAAACCCAGGTACACGGCACCACAGCACGAAGCCGGAGCCTACCATCGTAGACAATGACACGATCCGCAAGGTACCTCATCGGCTCACACGGGAACAATGGAAATCAATGGGCACGAGATGACGAAAGTGCGCACGTGGCCATGATGAAGTCGTGCTCCACAATGAAGGCTGTCTTCTTCGCGTGCAAGATGAATCTGCAGAGCGCCAGAGGCAAGGTGAGGTGCCTTTTTGTTTCCTGCGCCTCTTCATCACTCGAGCTGCAACAACACGCTGCTCAACATCCAAGTATGCAGATGGTTCATCGATCAGATAAATGTCCGCCTCGGACAAGGCCGGAGGCTCTTCCCCCACAGTACAGAACTTGATTTGGCACCGGCCTTGATCCCCCCTAGCAACCCGCATGATACATGAACCCCTGAAAAGGCAAAGATCTGTTGAGTAGAACCCTCCAACAATATTGAAATTCCTTCACCGTGATCGGAACTTATTCTTACGGCTCGAAATCAAAAGCCAGCCACACTGAGCATCAGGCTGGCTTTCCCAAAGACAACACCAGGGCAACCTCGGCACTTTAAGCAGCGACCCAACTGCACTCTCGCAGCGCGTGCAATCTGCGATTGCCAAGGCGTCGACTCTCTGAAGCTCTCCACCACTCAATGTCTGGACCTCGGAGCTGGAAGGACACTTCCCTTCTCGGACGTCTCGGCTGGTTGAATATGCTTACCAGCCTCCCTGAATTAGGGGAGTGGGGATTTCCTTTACGGAATGCCATCAAGGACAACAACAATGCACGCGATGCATACACCTTCAAGCTATCCTGTGTCCCGCCTCGTGATCCGCAATCTGATCAATGAGCATGGGCTTGGTGACGTCAGATTGGAACTGCGGATGCAGAAACCTTGATCCAAAAATGCGTACAGCAGCCCGAATGGTCAAGAACAGCTGAGCACGGCAAAGATGCAGCCATGTAGGCAGAGTGCCCTTTCTAAGTCCTTCGCGCGTCTCGAATCTTCATCAAGAAAAGATCCTGCGATTCACCCCCGGTAGATCCCCACGGTACGCGTCAAATAAAACATGTGATGGAATCCCCGAAGCTTGACTACTGTGGAATGTCGGTCCCTACAGGGGCTCTGCCGCCCTTCGGGCGGCATGCTCCGGCGTGTTCTCCAATGCTCATGAAATCTGGGATCTGTCATTTTTCATCGAGTCTGCAACCGACAAAGTCATGACTTCCATGTCCATCAAATTGAGGCGTGCAACGTAGGTTGAAAGGGGTCTCTGGAGTCCTTGCATATTTACTGCGAGAAGTCACCAACAGCCGCTAAACTCACTAAATCCTGCGACAAAAGAAAAGCCTCCCTGTCGAGCTGCCAACCAAAAACGCAACAAAACAAAAGAAAATCCTGAAGCAAATGGGCTGGATGAGGTGCCTGCAAACTTTCTCATTCGGAAGGAAGCAATCAATCATAACAGACTGTGAACGCGTGTCATGATTGCAGCAAAGATGTGAGCAGTGCAGACAAATATATCTGCTCCCCTCGGGCGCAGGAAAATTGGGTGGGTCCGATCTGTGGGGTGAGGTAGGTGAATCCCCTAAGCCCTCACAAACTTAACATGGACTACCATGTTTTCTCTTAGTTCTAGTTGCTCATGTCCGTAACAGCCAATCGCCCCAAACACCACCTGTCCCATAGGATGCGCAGTGGCAGGGAACTCTTGCCATCTGTCAAGCAACAGGGGAACGAACAACCTGCATGGTTGCAACTTCTCCTTGACCGTCCCTTCAAACTTGGCGCTGATGGTCTGTGGCTTGTAAGAAACCTTGGCGAGTGCGAAATGTGCGCAGCACTCCTTAGTCAATAGAAAATCCGCAAAGGGTTGTGGGTCAAAAACAGGTACCCAAAATGGAAGCCTGGAACATGGAGCCGAGGACAAAACTTGCTACCCATATCCTGGTGGCTAAATTTTGACCCATACGTGTGGCTCGAAATTAAACAGGAGGAATTGCGCAGGTTTTGGTCCATGTTTCCACTTACCAGGGTTCCATTTTGGTACCGGTTGTTTGACCCATACCCAAATGATATCAGTGCAAGGAGCATTCAGCTCTGGCACTTCGTCGCCTGACGGTCGCATACGTGTTTTGAGCCGGATGGATTTGTCCCTCGCATGGCTGTGGGTGAAAACCAATGGGATCCCATTTTGGGTTAGGTGAATTCACCACCCAGTTTAGAACCTATTTTAGCGGTTGGATTGGGATGTTCACTGGGGGCTAACCGAATTGGGTTTTGAAAAGCCCATGGCACCGTTGGCCAGGCCTTCCTTCACGTCATCCGGCTTCAACAGGCCCGCCAGCATCCGAATGAATGTGGTCTGCACAGTGGCTGTTGCAAGCGCTGCACCGCTTGCCATGCCATGCGATGGCGGCCCACCTTGCCACAGCCGTTCTGACCCAAAAGCACCAAGATCTCCGAGGACGCGAAGTTCCCCGCCTCAGGCGCGACTTTCGTCTTGCTCGAAGGGGGTTTTGCTTCCCTCTTCCAACGTTATTCCAAGTGGAGCATCACACTCCAAACTGAAAACCCCGGCGGTGATGTCCAGTCTGAACTCGCCCATCAGCTTGGACATGTTCGGGTAACTGAAACGCACAGAAAGCATTCACACCTGTCAAACACCACACTCGAGGGTCGCACTCGGTGGTGTTCATCCTGTCTAGTTTGGATGGGTCCAAGTCTTCACTCACCTTGAAGGACAAGGACACCTGCCAGGCCCAGCTCTCCAATGCTCCTTTGCCACTGGGCAGTGATCTGAATGCTCCCGCACTGAGCGCCTCTCGAAATCTAAGATTCTCCTGAAGTGCAGCCCAATGGCCCAAGAGTCAAGCTGGCAAGTTGGCTGCCAAGGAGCAGTTGGGATGAAGCCATCTAGGAAAATGTTGATGCCTGGCCATCATGTAGCAATAATTGTTCAAGCGCAGCAAGAAAGAAGCCGCCTTCTCGAACGCTGAAAGGCATGGTCACAACGCCATATGCGCCAGCAGAGCCCCACCTGGCCAATGCAGAAAATTGCAAACCGACTGGCGTTCTGCAATCCATGCCAAAGCCACAAGCAACAAATGAAGTCTGAGAGGTAGTCCAAAACAGCAAGATCGTGCCTGAGCTTCAGGGTCCCAGCCATCTCTCCGTCCCGGAAAAGTCTTCAAGTCTCCAATGTCTGGGCTGCGAGCTCAACGACAACAATGTAGTTGTCCACCGTTTGCAAGCTTCGGATGGTCTGAGCCGGGAATTTTCGAGCCGTCAACTCTCAGAAACTCAGCGGCCTGCGCCGCGGCAATGCGCTGCTTCACGTCAAGATAGGAGGAAGGCCTCTGGTGAGCGGAGTAATGTATCAGTGATGCTAGGTCATGCTAGGTCATGGTGTGAGTGGAAGCATCACTCATTGCTACCATCTTGGCTCGGCGCTCGTCGAACATGTAAACTTGCGCATCTTGAACGCAAAGAACTGCCGGGCAAAGCTGCGTTACACGAAGCATCCGTTGAGTGCTCATAAGCTCATCGACTTTTGGTTCTTTGCAGGACCAAGACGATTATAAGGGTTGGTATAGGCCTTACTATAACCATAACAACCAGGTTCCACAACTCCCTACCACCAAACTTGCGTGGTTTTGGGCGCGCGGTGCTCAAAGCACATGCACATGAGACACCGCCGGAAAAACGAGCCACGGAAGACGCCTGCAATGGCAAAGCGCTGGAGCTCCCCACCGGAGAGATTTTTGATCTCGCGGTCCTAAAGCTCGCTGGTGCGTGATGCAGGGAATGAGAGCTATGGAATGACCCCGAACTAAACCACCCAACGTATGGTTTCCTTTAAGAGAATCCCTAGGCTCATTCCCACATTCCCTACTAAGCACCAGCACAAAAGTGGGCCTAGCAGAATTTGCCAGTGTCCCAATCGGTTGGAACCCCTTAAACTGATTGCTCTCCCTTTGGATTCATGAAGGGGGAAACAAAACCAAAACACATGCCCCATGGTCCTGCAAGTGATTCAGTTCCAGGTCAGTGCAGAACCTGTCCTGGCAGTCTAGATTTGCCGAACCCTCACTGGATTATTGCGCTAGTTGGTACAAGCAACAAACGCACGCTGCAGAGTACCACCCCACTCCAACAGCCACCCCCCACGCCCACCCCTATACCTCCACTGGTTGAATAAAACTGATAAGCTTTGCCTGACCCTCTTTCGGCCACTGGAGGCAGGCAAGTGAAAGGTCCTTCTGCTTCTTGGCATCTTTCTGACTGAGAATAGCGTCCACTGTGCCAGCAATTTGCTTGGGCAACTTGTCGACATACCTAGGCAGACGATCCGGTTGTACAATCTTTCCATGCGCAAGTCAAGTCGCAGCTCGCGTTGGGGCAACTTCAACTAATCGCCGCATGATAGAATTCTGATACAAAGCAAGAAGAACTGTATTGGTATGGATGTCCCCCTCTCTAGAGAAAAATACAGAAAGCAAAATCAAGAACACGGGTTCAGCTGCTGAGTGCATTAATGCTGCCAAAAATACTGAGGCTTGATCATCGCCTTTAGTCTGTCTTCAAGCATGCCTTTGATGTACCTCGCTCGAAAGCCAGTTTTCCTGACATTGATTCCTCTTGGCAAGTTCGCGCACGCTTGCAGCTCGCTCCCTCTAAAGTGTTGGATGATTTCCTGGCACATCTGCGAGCTGCAAGCAACAAACCCCGGCAAATGCCTGCCTGCCAATCTGGCGGATTGTCAAATCGCCCCAGATTGGGCTTCAACTTGCCTGCCAGAACCTCGGTCAAATGCATTTGCAGACTGCTCAAAGCCTTGCAGAATAGACAACGAATCCGAATCGAGTGCCGAAGCCCAGATCTGCGAGCCGGACGCACATGTCTTTTCCTCATCCCTCGCCGAACGGCTCCACGCGCGCGAGCGCGCTCTGCAACTTGCTAAGATTCGCAGTTGCTGTTCTTTGCATCATTTCTGCCTCACTCTGTGCAGCATCTTGGGCGCATTGCTGCACAACACCCTCAAAGGCTAGCTGACTCTGACGAATTTTGAATTGAGCATCAGTGTCAGGATATGGACCTGTTGCTCCGACTTTCTCGGGCTTGGCCTTCGTGTTGATGGCAGCAATCTCCGGCTTTGTCCAGCCAAGGCCCGCCGCCTTGTTCTGCAAAGCCGCCTCAACCTGCTGCCGAGTTTCGTTGATCTTGCGCTTCTTGGCATCTGGTCGAGGGTCGTCTCGTGCCCAGTTCACCAGAATGCATTTGGAGAGGCCCAGCTTCTGACCGTTCATGGCCTCCTTGGCAAACTCGGCATTGCAGCGCCAGGTGTATCTCACAAAACCGATGGCTTTGGAGGGCACAAGTCTGACATCTTCAACCTCACCCCACAGCCGGAACTTGTCTTCCATCTCCCGCTGCACGCTTTCAACGGCATCCGAGGCTGTACGATCAAAGATCAAATCGCCTACGAAAAGCGTGCAACAGGAGTCGTTGAAGCTTCCAACACCACCCATGTCGTCCCGGTGCTGCGAGTAGCGCTCCCTTCCAAAGATGTCATGCGCCTCGTCTCCGGATGCCATGTCCAGAACTGTGGGCACATGATGGAAATATCGGCACTTGTGGCCAAAGCCACAGCTGCCACGAGCAAAGAACAAGCAGAACCCTGGGCTACCAGAGGCAGGTTGATCCGCCTGTGTCCAGCCCGAATCCTTGTCAGGATCGCAGGTGGTTCCTGCCTGGTTTCTGTCCTTGTCTCGAGGATTCCTACGATCCGAGAGGTACTTGCCGAACCAAACGTTGAAATCCTCGTGGCCTTCTACATATTGCGGCACCTCAGGATTGTATGGCACTTGGATTCTGGCCGGAGTTTTCATCCAAACCTTGAACCTGGCGATGTCATTTGCAAACGGTTTGCTCGGCGTGTTCTCTGCCGGGAACTCGACTTTGCAGGAACAGCAAGAATTCGGCGCCGCAGCTGGAGCTGGATTTTGAATTTCGCCTGCACACGATGCGATCACGAAAGCTCCGCCAAGGTTGCGGTCGAATTGGGTATGTGTCAAAATACAGAGGAATCCACCAAAATGGTGGTTCTCCTCTTGATTTCCCTGCAAACCAACCCCAAAACGGGTACCCGCAACAAAAACAATCGCACCTTCATCGTTCTTCTCCAGACTGACCTTGAGCTCGCCATCTGGATCTGGATCAGCAGATTTGAACTCTCCAGAGTGGATGTTCAAGAAGAAGGGTTGGCCTGCACAGCTTTCAGCTTCGAGATGGCAAATGTACAGCTTCCGGAACCCTTACAACATTGACGGCTTTGATCCAGCAAAGGTGGCCAAAAAAAAACACACTTGTCCTGAGTCATCTTCGAAAGAAACCCACACTGGGCACTGCAGCACATCTGCAGAGTCCATGTCAGGCCTTCACAATGCGCTATTGGCTTGAGCCCTGCGACATCAATACAAATGGGTGTCTTTAGTTGACCCCCCAAAATGGCGGCGTTCCAAATAGCCCCGACTCAAAAAAAGACACGCCCAAATAGCCTCGGCCTACGGAATGCAAGCTATCGAACTGCCTGAGCGAGCTCACCTCCTTGAGTCTGAGTCCAGTACCATCAATGCTGTGGACTTGCCGATGCCGTTGGTGCCCACAAGACCTAGCACTTGTCCTGCCCAAGAGACTGCGCCATGATTCTGGGTAGTTTTCTCGAGTAACCCGAAAGAAACCGGTCCTATCGTGACACATGGCCATGGGTCAGAATTGGCCATGGGTCAAAATCCCGAACCCCCAGTGAACATCCCAACCCCCACTAAAAAAAACTAATAGACTAAAACGGGTGGTGCACCGAAAACCCCAAAATGGTACCATTGGTTTTGACCCACGGCCGCATAGACTTTGGAGCCCGGGAAAGAAACCGCCGGTCCAGCCCTTCCCCTCCTGGGCGTGGCGTTGGCAAGCGGTGCAGCTTGAAGGTGTTCGCACCTAAGACGCGACCCTGACAAGCGCCGTCCAATTCGCTCAAAGCTGCGAGTCTGACCGTAGCGATGCGTGGTGTGGCTGGACAGGTCCTGGAAGCTTGTTGGACCATTCAAAGGAAATCACACGAGGTGTTGACCTTTTGAAGTTACTCCCCCCCCTTGAGATGTGCGGAAACGTTTGACCTTTTGAAGTTACTCCACCCCCCTTGAAATGTGCGGAAACTTCGGCTATCGTTCGTGGACCTTCACCATTCTTACGGCAAGGAATGTGGAATATGCCTGCAAAGCACATGCCAAGACTTTCTGTGATGCAAAGTTCCAACTCAGAAGACTAAAGCTGACATGGGCTGATGCTGGCCTTCGGCAAATTGATGATTGTAATTGCCTGCCGGTGTGCCCACTGAGAACCGGCTCTCTGCAGGCTGCTGACACTCCAAGTCTACACAAGCAAATGCGTCCTTATGTCTGCAACCAGCCCACCCCTGGTTGGTAGTTCGAGGGAAACCCAAAGGAAGCCAACGGTTTGGGGGGACTGCTGTTAGAAACATCCACATGCAACTCCAAGCCTCAAAGGGGCACTTCTTCACGCAAATACCGCAACCTTCCCAGCGTTTCCGCACTCAGTCGCTTGGCGTTCTTTGGATGTCGCAGCTGGGATTCCTGCCGATACAGAGCGACTCTGAGATCCAGCTGATCTTAGAGTCTTTGCTCACCTGCCAGGGTCTTCTTACCCATGTGAGCCAAACAAGTCAAGCAGCTGCCTCAACGCAAAGCTTTCCAGTCCGAACGACTGGGCAGTACTTCTTGCATTCTTGCTTGCACCTCATAGACCAGGCAATTTCGTGAAACAAAAGCCGCTCAGCTCCACATCTGGAATGGCAATGAGAGGCTCACAAGGCTTGAGCGCCACACTTCTTGGGTTTGCATCGGTCAGTGTTGACAATTGCAATTCGCAACTTCCTCTCATCGTCCTCTGCTGATCCAGCTGCCTTCTTCCCCATCGATTTCGCCTCAAGCCACAAGGAAATGGACGTGGAATGCACAAAACGCAGATCGCACTGGATGAGTCTTTCGTGGGACCCACATCAACCAACAATGCTCGCGGTATTCAAATAAATCTGGCAGTTTTGCTTCAAATTGAATGTATGAGCTGAATTGGTTCCTTTGACAGACTCACAGTTGGGGCCACCAAGAAAAAATATGTTGCAGGCGCTCACAGGGACTGTGAGTTTCCAAGTGGCATCTCCTCCCTAACCAACAGGCCAAGACGGGTTTGATTTAGGTGGGGATTCATATCCAATTCAACTGTGTAGCCAAATTTAGCCGAATCTGTGTAGCAGAACTGCCACAGCCTTACCACAGCCCAAGCTGGGGCCCCACACCAAACTCAGCACGCCGCAAGGCGGTGGTTTTTTGGCGATCAATCCAGTGTCGTGCACCGGGTGCTGGTCTGTCAATTTGCCACCCTTGCAACTATGAGCATAACACAGCTTTGGGTTGTGTAATCCTCAAGCCGAGACGCAGCGGCAATCTGTGTCTACATCTCAAACACATGCAAAATCGGCAGGACCGGAAATGCGATGTCAAACGCCAGCAAATGTGCAAGCAGCTGGCGCTGAATGCTTCTCCCGCACATCACAAACATCCTGGTTGCCTATCTGTGGACAGAATCCATAGTCCACTAAAAGTCATACCTGTGCCCGGAAAGGCAATCCCATCGGCTGGAGGCTCCCTGTGCGGTTCAGCCATGGGAGATTCACCGTACCGAACCGCACTGCCCACCCCTTGCTGGCAAGTCGTTAGTTAGCACAGCTGCGTTAAAGCAACGAGCAATGCGTTTCAAAAGCACAGCTGCAAGGATGCACGACGGGAAAAGTGCTGAGCCTTGTCAGCCTTGTCTTTATATAACCCCTCAAAAGGGGCATCAGCGATCGAGGAAACTACATAAGAAATGGTCAAACAGCCGCAGCCCCAACCTGCTTGGCGCCTAGCAAAGTCAACGCGAAGGAGTAGCCCAGCTTGGCCAAATCAGCAAATCAGCGTACAGCTTCGCACAGGGCACGCATGTGCCACGAGTGCAGGTGACAACTTGCAAGAGTTCCAAGTCTGTGAGATGTGCTACGAAGGGTAAGCATGTGCCCGGCAGTTCTGCAAACCAAGGCATCAGTGGTTGCTAGTCACGGATGCGGATGTCTGCCAGGCACGAAATAACTTTTATCTAATTGCAAGCCCTCTCTGGGCTCCCAGGCAATGACGGTAAGCACGAAAGCTCAAAATGGCCTTGCCTGACCTATCTACAGTGAGCTTGGAGACATCTTCGCCGACCGCTTGCTTCAAGTGCCTCTCACGTCTGGAGGTAGTCCAAAACCTGGCGAAAGGAGGACTTGCCGATCGCCCTTCGCAATATCGGATCCACTGAATCTCTCTGCCGCCTTCTTGGGCAACCAGCCATCCGAGAGCTTGTCTGGCTGGCGTGGGCCGAGCCGCCTGGGTGAAAGGCATCAGGAAAGTGTCTTAATTTGAAAGTTGTTAAGAGCAAGTCGGGCAACCAACTGAGGCCAGGACTCTCCGTAGACCCAGCCTCGTTCCGCCTGCGCGTACGAAAAATGCCACAAATCAAAGCTCGGGACCCAGCGCCTCTTTCGAGACTGCTATGATCTCACCCTTGGTCACGCCGAGGGTTGCCTATTCCGAAAGCTTGCAACTGTGAACGTAACCGCCAATGCATGGGCATGAAAATCAGAGCCTGCCCCTCCGCAGGCCAATCCACCGCCACGCGGCACAAGCTGACCCGCTTGACAACGGCCTGTCGCTCGACGAATCAAGCGAGACCACAGAGGTGGTTGCCGTGCCTGGGGTATCCAACCCTCAGAGGCTGGTTCTCCCATTTCCTTGTCAGGCTGCACGGTTCCTGTCGGACACATGGAAGGCTAGCAAGTGCCACTCCCACCTTCAACTTCTGCCCTCTCCGCCTCGCCTTTCTCTTCCAGTCCCTCTCCTCCCTCCAACCGTTCTGGTCCCAGCCCCGCCCCCTTACCTTCTCCTTCTCCAGCCCTGGACCTCATCTGCCTGACTTTTCTACCCTTGTCTCTTAGCTTGTCTCTTGTTGTGTCGTGGTTTTTCACACCTACCTACCTACCTACCTACCTACCTACCTGCCTGCCTGCCTACCTGCCTGCCTGCCTGCCTGCCTACCTGCCTACCTACCTGCATGCTGATGAATGTATCAACATGTTGATGATGTCTCTCTTTTTCTCCTCCTCTCTTTCTCTCTTTCTCTCTTTCTCTCTTCCTCTCTTTCTCTCTTTCTCTCTTTCTCTCTTTCTCTCTTTCTCTCTTTCTCTCTTTCTCTCTTTCTCTCTTTCTATCTTTCTATACTTCTCTCTCTCTCTCTCTCTTGCTCTCTCTCTCTCTCTCTCTTGCTCTCTCTCTCTCTCTCTCACTTTCTCTCTCTCTCTCTCTCTCTCTCTCTCTCTTGCTCTCTCTCTCTCACTTTCTCTCTCTCTCTCACTTTCTCTCTCTCTCTCTCTCTCTCTCTCTCTCTCTTGTGTTACTTTATTTGTTCGTTTTCCGTGTTGCGTACTCTCCACGTATGGCTTTCTTGCTTTCCTTCCTCTCCTTTTCTCTGTTCTTATCTGCTCTTTTCTGTCTGCTCTTCCAGTTGCTCCTCTTTCGTGTTTCTCACTGTCCTGCGTAAACCCAGCCATGTGCGGCTCGGTAGGAGATGTTCACCAGCGTTCCCTGCACAAACAAGTCTCTCGCGTAGCAAGAGCTACGCAATGACGGGCTGTTAGAAACTCCAGCTCAACTCTCTGTGCTTGACATGTGCACGCCTTGGTCACGAACAGCTGCCCCGGCCTAAGCTCAGCTCATGGCCATGTCCAGCTGTTTGAAAGTGGCTTGCTTGCAGGCTGCCCCCGAACACAGCAAGGCTCCCCTTGAATTGTTCTCGCTACACAAAGCAGAGTCTCATGCTGGTCCGGCTCCCAGTCGTGGATGGTGATGTGCAACCTGAGCAAGCTCCGGCTCTGCTAAATTCATTTGTGTTACATTGAGCGTTTGGTCCTCAAACTTTGATGTCGTACCACTGCAAGCACACCAAGCTGCCAACAACCCCTGAGATTGGTTCTCCTGGGCCTGGTCAATGCATCCAGAGCAGATTTGATGAATGAGCTCATTGGATGAGAGAATGAGGTGTAAGCCGGCGGAGCACCATTCGCAGCAGGGGATGCTCCTTCTGCCTCGCGGGGCTAATACCGGGCTACCAGAATGCCCACTTCACTCTCAAAAAGCATTGCCCGAGGCGCTGTTCCAGCAGATGCGGCCGCTTGCGTTGCTGCCTGACGAGCTCTGTGTAGCATTGCGGTCTTCTGGGTGATAACATTGCAACAGCACCAGCGAGATCAGAAACATGATCGCCTCAGCTGCTGGTGGCATGTAGGCCTCAGATCGCAACATGTCCAAACAAGGACGACGGATTGATGGCTCGGAGACATCCCACCGCTGCATCCCAGACAAACCATGGGCAAAAAGTTCAACTTCGAAACATTGCGCCCTCAACCGGTTGGTTCCTTTTGGCTTCTTTTGAAATGTCGAGCGTTGCTCGCCACCAAAACGGAATCTGTGCAGACGGCCATGGGCTGAGGTGCGCCAGGAACAGCCTGTAACGGACGTGCATCTCCAACATGGCCATGGTTCAAAACCAATGGTACCATTTTGGGATAGGTGCACCACCCATTTTAGTCTATGTTAGTGGGAATTGGGATGTTCACTCGGGGTACGATTTGGATTTTGACCCACGGCCACATGGCCGTTGTTCTGGCGGTTTCCCTTTCAAGCAACCAAGGCGAACACACAAGGACCAACTTGCTGGCGCGATAGGTAGGGAATGAACCCAGGCTTTGGTCCCCTTAAAGGAAGCCACTGGCATGGTTTATAGGGGCCATTCCATTTCTGATTCCCTGCATCTCTCGCACCAGAAAGACATGAGCTACACGACGCTTTGGCTCCATTCGCCTGCGGCACTGGCCCGTAGGGGGCCGGCGGCTGGACCCTGGGCTGTGGGTCAATTCGGTTGGGCGTCGGAAGCAGCCACTTGGCCAGCGGCCCATACGGTGCATAGGGAGGCTGTCCCCTCACAAGTCAAGGAATGTCAAGCATTTGTTGGAGGCCCCCCAAAAGAAGAAAAAAACAACCCCAAGTGCCAATTTCTTGTCAGCTTCTGAGTCAGTGGCACAAGGGGAGGCTGGTAGGGCACTTGCGCGTGCGGCTGTCCTCCGTTCAGCTTTATGGGAAAAACTTGCACATGGGTGGCTCCTTTTTTAAGGGGGGCCCAGAAAATCGCGGCTTTCCTTTGGTGTCCCTCAAACAAACAAACAAACAAACAAACAAAACACGGCAACCTCAAGAAGGGACACCCCCACATGTCGCAGGTCGGTCCATATGGCACTCCGGGCACTCCATAAGGAGCGTAGGGCTGGGCATAGGGGACAGGCTGGTAGGGCGGCGCCCTGGAATGGAGAATGGGGACAAATGTGAGTCATGCTTTTCTATGCTAAGTCACTGACGGATAGGGATACGGCTGTTGCAAAGGCTGAGGAGGGTAAGGATAGGGCGGGTAGCCTCAAGTCTTCACTGCTTGCTGCTGACTTTCTGCAATCTGTTTATGTTTTTGCGGGTCCAATGGATACACGTTCAACCGAAAAGTTCAAGTCTAAAGCTGCAACCCAATGGCAATTAAGCCTTCACCTGCCTCCCTTGCTCTGAGCTCTCTTTAGGGCATTGGCCGTACATTGCATTTGGATCAGGTACAGGAACTGGCGGAGGTGCCTCTAAGCAATCAGCTCAGCAAACTCAAGCTGCATAGACCCAAACAGCTAATGGGGTGTGTCGTTCCCCCTGTTGTGGCTGCTTGAAGGCAAACCAAATGGAAAACGGTCCCCTGAAAAACGACACACCCAATTGTGTGTGTGTGTGTGTGTATGTGTTTGTCACTGATAGTGATGGAGTTACATCCAACAGGACCCACTTTGAGGCTGGCTATGCGGTGAATGCTCGCAACTATGTGAGCACTAGGCGACTCCGATGCCTGATAGTACATCGGAGCAGGCTGCTGGGCCTTTAGCACGAGAGGTCCAGCACTTGAGCGGATCTCAAGTTACCACATCTCACATCACATGCACTCGGCATGCCTCACGCATGGCTTCTATCACTTTGGGATGCCGCATGTCTTGTGTGCCTTCTGTGCCTTCTCTTCTCAGCTCCTTGCCGGAGGTGGAACTCCATAAGGCGCAGCCGCCGGATCCAGCGGCATCTGGAACAAAACATGCGACATGGACTAAAAAAACCAGCAGGAAGCCCGTTCTCGCCTGTGTCACCGGTGGCGGCCTGCGCAGCGGTTGCCATCCGAACCGCAACCGATTTGAACGCGTCCAAGGCGTGGACACTGAAGCCAGCGGGGGAGCCTGGGGTGCGCGACGACTTTCGCGATCGGCCACAAGGCCCAACACGCGGCGCGCCTCACCAGGCCCCAGGACCGCGACATTCCTGCAAGCTTTTTCACTTTTGGATCCAACCGGGCAAAAACAAAGAGAAGTCCTTGCGACTAGCCGGTTCTTCGCGCCCTTCCGGTGGTGATCGCGCTCGATGTCAAACTCAACCACCTCGAACTGAAGGCTTGCTGGTGCGATAGAGAATGACCCAGGGAGTGGGAATGAAGCGTTTTGGGATTCCCGCAAAGAAAACCATAGGGGGGTGGGTTTATTGGGGTCATTCCTCATCCCCTGAGAACCAAGAAGAAACGCATGCAGGAGAATTGTTGAAGGCGCACTCCAAGGACCAAGCAGTTCCAATGGCCAGCTGGGCATTCTGGCACTGAGCCTCCGCCCGCGTAGCTGGGATACCAGAGGCGACTTCTTTGCAAGTTGCGCACCAACAAGGAGTCTCGGTGCACGAATAGATCGCCGGCGAAGCGATCTGAGTTGATGAAACCCCAAGCCTCAGCTCTCAGGTGCCAGAGTTGTTCTTTTTGCTTAGACGACTCCAGCAACTGTGGACCGACATCTCCGAGCGCCACACTCCCTGGAAGGATCTGATATACCCTCGCAACCTGAACAATGCAACCAGGCAGAAGCAAACAGCAAGGGCCTTGCCTGTGCCCTATCCAGTCTCCCGGACGAAGCAGCGCACGAGTGGTGATTTGCTTTGCCACCTGCAGGCATCAGGGGCTCTTTCAGGCTGCAGCCCAAGCTTTAAACCCCTCATCGGCTGCAAGGAGAAGTAAGTCAAACTGTCACTGAGGAGTCTGCTGCACGCCCGCGATCGTCGAGGGCGACGTCAAACTCCACCACTTGGCCCTCATCTTTCCCGCTCTGTGTGATCCCAACAGAAACTGATCGAGTTGGCAAGCGCTGAACTGCGCACCGTTCGAAGAATGGGCTGGCCGTCGGCCCCCATTTCTGATCCAGGCCTGAGTGCTTAGCATTCTGAACGGGCCTAGCGACCTGCACGCTTTTGGCACGGGTGTTCCATCAAGCGCAGTCACAAACACAGCAGATCTTCGTCCATTTGGCTGGCTTGACTTTGAAGCCTCAATCTCTCCTGTGCACACCATTCGTCGCTTGAACGAGCCGGTTCTGGAACAACGCCGTAAAACGGCGTTTGAGCATCTTATTGTCTGCCGGGTGTGCAGCGCATAAAAGCCGAGAAGCAGCCACTTGCTCTCTTTTGAACAAACTGTGTCATCTGCCGGCATGGCCGTTGTACATGCTTGTACACTATGCATGGCTCTCCCACGCAACTACTACTTACCACCTTGATTCTGAGTCATCTTACATTCCCTTGGCAAACTCAAAAGCCATTAAGTGCGATGCTCAAGCAGCAAGTTGTCCCGATGAACGAAGAGGTCGCCATCAAAGGCAGCTGCATTGAGGAACCCCCAGCCTCATGCGAGATGCAAACAAAAATTAAGGAAAGCTGGCAGGCCGTTGCAGTGTGTCACACCCTGCACCCTTGAAACATCTTTACAGCGTAAGGCCTAGACGTTCAGCAAAACGTCTGACGTAGCCTCGATGCCTTTGGCCCAACACATCGTACGGCCTAGGATCCCCGGATCCCGCGCTCTCTCTCTCTCTCTCTCTCTCTCCCAAGATCCGGGCAAGAGCTGCCAGGGAAACATGAGTGCTTCAAGAACATAACTTGTAGGGGCGCTGCTTTCGCCCAAGGACGGGCTTCACCGCCACGGCAACCACTTTGCCGTTTTCATCAGCTTGAACATCAAACCTCATTTTGCACGCAACGCGTCTGCCTGTCTGAACCAATTTGCTCAAGGCAGCTTCATCGCATCCGTGGTAAGCGCAGCACTCGACTCCCTCATTTTCGTGCAGAGGATGAGCCTCAGGGTTGACAGGTTCCCACACATCCGTCCTATCTCAGCTTCCGCTCTGGGTCGCAGGCCTGAAATTCAGGCATGATGCGATCTATTCGAAACGAGAGCTCGCCTTCAAACATGTGGCCTGGCAAAAAAGCTGCAACAAAGTTGAGCAGGCTTTGTCGGGAACCTCCAAAATGGGTGGCTGCAAGCCCGAACAGGGTTCTCTCGAGAAATGACGCTTGGCAGGACCGCGAAGCGACTCGCAAGCTTGCCATGGCGGCTCTTCACCATTCCATACCCGCTCACTGGCAGGTACTTGGTCACAGTGCCAGTGAGCCTGAGAGGAAATCCAATAGCAGACACATGACCAATGAGTGCAATTTCCCACCTCTCTTGCTTCAAGTCCAGCGCTGACTTCACCGGCAGCCTGGAAGGTCTAGGTGTTGAGAGCACACGGAGGGGTAGTGGAAAAACATGCCCAGCAGGGCTGAAGAGTTGAGCTGAGCCCTTCTTCTGGCGGCCTCAGCCGAGTCAGTTTGTGACAAAAACCTGCCGCAAATCAGTGACCAGGACCAATCGCCATCCATGCATTAAAAGCAAACAGCACAGAGATGTACCCCTCTCCATTCTGAGCTTGCACCTGCCACAAACCTCATTGACACATGTAATATGGCACAAAAGCATCGCTTGTGGGCGACTTGCCACTGCCACACTCATGTCAAAAGAAAGAGGTACTAATATCTATCAGGAGCCACAAGATCAGCTTGGTGTATCTGTTTATGAGCTAGGGGAGACCAGCAGAACCCGACCGGATGCACAAGACAAGCAAAGCGGGACCCTTGAAGCGGGTGTTCTCAAAAAAGGCACCCCCATTTCTCTCTGTCAGTTCTGCAAAATCTGTACCCTGCAACCCCCATGACCGGCCGACGGCTCATCTCCCTAGGCTCCGGCTCGTCTTCAGGACCTCGGACTCCGCCCACCAGCCCCACACCCGCCAACCCCCCGAAGCCCCACGAAGCCTCGGCGAAGCCCGCCTAAGGAGAAACGCGGCGGAGCAGCTGGAGCGGTGTTTTTTGCCCCGAAACCAGGGCGCGGACCGTCTGCTATTGCACCCGGCCTAGATGAGTGGCGAAAATTCGACATGTGTCTCGGACACCCCCGAAAGATTCTGAGGAGTTTTCGCTTTTCTGAGATGACATATGCCTCTTTGCATGTCTCCCTCCTACTTGATACTACTGCATCGCCGCAAGTTTCACGCTTGTCCGACACCTTCCCATACTCTCGTGCCACAAGTATTGCCCAAAGCACATGGATGTCTGTTTTTGAGGCTACCCCCTTATTTGTGGCTTTAAAGGGAAACCAAAAGGAAACCCGCCATTTTGGAGGGTCCACAAACAACAAAAAAGACATACCCAACGGCCCAATGTGTGCTCTCGGTTCAACTCGATGCGTGCCGCCTATAGCAACTGAGAAGTCGGCGGCACTGGTCCAGCCAAGCCCCGATCTGCCTTTAGGGCATCGGGCTTTTCCATGTCCATGGCAGCACCTCCGGACTGCAAAATCAGAGTCATGCAAAGAGATGCGAAAGGCCACACCTGCAATTCCACCCTGCTTTGGCAGTGCCTGAAGAAGAAAAAGAACATGAAGAGTTGGCAAAAGCGAAAACACCAGCAGGTGTTCAGATGTGTCCAACCTCGTCTGCTTCTTTCGAAGGTTGGACATTGGCATCCTGGGCTTGTGCATCAGCTGCCTGCAAAGCGAGCAGCTGAAGCGCATCTCCCTCAAAGCGATGCGCAAAGTAAACTGTGCGAGGCTTACCATATGGCCAGGGAGACAGGTCTCCGAGCTCCTGCCACAACTCGAAAAGAACGTAGCTTGCATCGCACACCAACCAGTGCTCAGCTCCTCGACTTTCAATATTAACGGCGACGACTCCTGCAAGTGCACAAGCTAGTGCTCAATCCCGCAAGCGCAGACTTCAGCTGGAAACCCTGCCTGGTGGTCATCAACTCTGACCCTTGCTCTACCCGATCCCAGCACAAAGGATCTTTGGGTGAGACACAGCACAGCTTGAACCAAACGCGTGATAAATTGCAGCTTTCCAAGCATCTTGCAGTGGTCCGCTCTCTAAGCCATGCATCGGGCTGAAATACACCTCTTGGCTTTGGATCGATGCCCAGTGGATTGCTACAAGCCAGATGCGCCTCGGAATGCCCGGCCGGGCATCCCGAGGCAGAAAGCTCGCAAGGCAGGTTGGCCAGGTCTTGAAGCGACAAACTGGTAGAAAAAAGTGTTGGGCAGGATTCCTGGCATCTTCGGCAAGTTTGGGCTGTAATTCATCAGGCTTTCAGTAACTTGTTGGCCTACATCTGTCCACTGGATAAGTCTATACTTCGGGAGCCAATCTGTGCAGCCTATACTTGCCTGCTGAACAAGATATTGGAAATACACTTTGTTGTAGTTTTCGCATAGGCTCAGTGGCATGAGCATGCAAATGTCAGAACTGGCTCGCCCATTTGTGGTGGGCCTTAAACAAACAAGCATAGGAGAGGACAAAATCTAAACGAAAATGTCGCACAACCTACACCCTATGCCCTAGGGCAAACGTGCAAAGACCTTCGTGGTTGTGTGATGGTAAATCCCCCAATATAGATTTGAGCCAGCAAGAAAGCAAGCAAGCAAGCAAGCAAGCAAGCAAGCAAGCAAGCAAGCAAGCAAGCAAGCAAGCAAGCAAGCAAGCAAGCAAGCAAGCAAGCAAGCTACACGTATCAACACACGCGCCCACACACACACACAAGCAATCGCGCGCACACACAAAACACAAAGACCGGATGCTTGTGCTTTGGCCAAGTACATTGACATACTCTTGTGTGCATGCAAAGACCAAAAGGCACGTGATGGGAACCTCTCAGGTAAGGCTACGAGCGTTGAACGCGTGCAGGTCAGACTGTATGCCACAGTCTTTCAAAACTCAGGTCTGCTGCCTTGGCAGTTGATGAGCTCGCAGTTTACCCTCTTTCATGCATGCGGTTCTGGCAAACCAGAAGAGCTGCCAGCAGCTCTAAATGACATGGGGCCAGAGAGGGAACAACACCTTGACTATCGTTGCTTTCTGGATGGCAAGCTGTGCCTGCCACGGTCAACGTTGCCATGCATGGGGTTTAGCACTACGCAACAAAGGAAACAAGGTCCCGAAGCAGCCAGTCAGACTGACCAACGTAAAGGGAAGTATAGGCTCCATGTTTTTTGCCAGCAATATGGCTTGCAATTTGGAATCTTATCACTTATCCATCTGATACAAACCAACAAGCACAAATATTTACGCCTGCCCTTGCATGAAGATGCCCCAAGTTTTGACAACTTCAAGCCTTAATCTGCCCCATAAAGTACCTTTGTAGCATATTGCATTCCCTTGTCAAGTTCTATTCATGGAAAGGATGCCTGGGATAGATTCTGCTTGAAGATGAGAAGCAAACTTATATGTCTATTCTACTAGTTCATATTAATTGGACATCATGTGTGGAAAGGAATGTCCCTTGATATCATCATTAAGCATAGAAATTGTAGCTGGATGATTTGCTGTTTACAGTTGGTTGATTTGCTGTTTACAGTTTTGCTTGTTTTCCGAGTAAACTTCAATCATAATAGAATTTGGCATAAGGAGCTTATAAGGAGCCTTGAAGGGAACTTTATAAGGAGCTTTAGAAGGAACTGTATAAGGAGCCTTTTTCGCAGCTGCTCAAGGAGTATGAGGAGCTTCATAAGTAGCTTTAAAAGGAGCCTTATAAGCGGCTTTTCAAGGAATAGTATAAGAAGCATTCTAAGAAGCCTCGAAAAGAGCTTCATAAGGAGTCGCGTAAGGAGCTTTATGGGTAAGTTTTACAAGCAGCATAACAAGTGAGCTTTAACAGGAGTTTGCAAGCAGCTGTACAAGGAATTGTGAGCCTTATATGGAGCCTTTTCACTATGGAGCATTTTCACTCACAAGGCTTGAAAAGGAGTCTTACAAGCAGCTTCGCAAGAAGCCTTGTGAGGAGTTTTATGAGGAGCCTTACAATGAGCCTTGCAATGAGTTTTATACGGAGCATTCATAACGGCTGTAAAGGAGCTTTTACAGGAGCTTTATAACAGCTTTAGTCAAGACTTGCAAGCCAAGTAAAAGTGTTGAATTTTAGTTTAACATCGAAAATCTAGTTCACTGGTCACACCCCTTCCCGGTGGCTCCAAGATGGTTTAATCATAGCAGTACCAAACCTGCCCAAAATAGGGACAAGCTAAAGAACAAGCAAACCGCGGGAAAGCAAACAAAGCTGCTAAACCTCAAGAAAAAGCATAAACAAAACTCAGAGGAGAAGTTTTGGTTGTACCCAAAGTTGTTTGGTTTTCTAAAGTCTTCTTGGGTTTCCCTCAGTTGTTTTGGGTTTTCTCCATGTTTTTGAGCCAAATCCAAAAACTCAATGGTTTTTGGGCTTGGGGATTTTTGGATGGAAAACTACGCACAACCACAAAACACGAGAAAAAAAAAATAAACATCGAGTTGTTTTGTTTTTCCTCGAAAAATCCACCGAGGGCAAAAAAGAAAATTGTTTGACAGAACCATAACTGCTTCTCAGACTTGTTGTTTTTGGGCTTGTTGGTGTCCTCAAGGTGTTCGTGGTTTCCCTCTAGAGTTTCCGGAGAACAAAAATACTTTTGGCAAAACCGAAACTTATCCTCCGAGTTTTTGATTCTTGGTTTCTCGTTGTTTGGCCTTCTGGATGATCAGTTTCAATGTTGTGCTTCATCGTCTCAATCTAAACTACAAGATTCACCAAAACAAGCTGTGCTTGCTTCACACAATTAAGAAAACTACTAAAACAACTGCGGTGGTTGGCTGACTTTTCACAGTTAGCGTAATGCAGATCCACAACGGAATCCGTTTTGCTTTACACGTCGTTCTTATGAAAAAACAAAACAAAATAACAAAATATTGCTTGCAATACTTTGAGGCACAGCATCAGAGGTAGTTCATGGAGGTGGGGTGACCATTTTCATGCAAAGCATCAGCAAGCCAGCCACCGAAGAACTTCTTGACTGATTCAACACACAACCCTATCCGCCTCCCTGGACCAATGTGATTGTGCGCCTCCCCGAAATGAAGAAAGAAAACGTAAAGTTTGGAATTGGTTGGAGAAGATATCAGGCGATTCAACGCCTCGTGCCTCAGCTTGACACGTGGCCCATTGAGTCACGGCTTGTGTTTGCCATGAGTGGGTTGGCTGTCAGCGATGGCTCACAGCGCCAGCTTGCAAAAACGACCACCAAACCACCTGCAGAAAGGCAGAAAGGCAATAAAAAGCAGTTGTCAGTGCACAGCCCAAACCCTAAGCCTACACAGACCCCTTCATGTAGCTTTCCACGCTCGCATTGCAAGTCCGACGAGTTGCGTATGTCATAATCATGCAACGCACGATCGACAAACGAAGCCCGCGCTCAGTGCTTGCAAGTGTTCGCTCATGTTATGAGCATCATCTGCAAAGGTCTTCCTCATCTTACAAAGAAAACTATCATTGTCATGAAAGGCTTGGAAACAAGCTGGCACCAAAAAAAATATGCACCACAAAGTAGAAACATTTGCTATGCAATGCAACCACGGCTACAGCCCAAACCCGAAGCCTGCGCTGACACAGGCATTGAATGCTCTGAGCTGCCTCCAAGTTGGAGCCCAATTTGGTTCTTCTTGCCAAGATTCGTGCACACTGGTCGATAAAGAGTTGTTGGGTTGCATCTCTGACAAATCATTGCCCTTTGACAGATCATCAACTGATTGCCCCCAGGTAGTCTTGCTGCGCGATCTAACCTGATGCGCCTAAGCTTAGTGTGACATGCAGGTCTGTAAGGTCAGAACAATTATTTGTATTTGTTTCCTACCAAATCCCTGTTAATAGCAAAACAGGTTGTGTGGGGAAGACAGAGGCTTTGCTCCAGACTAAAGATGCCAAGCGGATCAGATGCTATGAGCAAACGGATCAGATGCTAAGATTGACATAACACGGTTCGCATACATTATGCAAATGACCCTCCTACGCACGTGGCTACAAAATCAGCACTTGCAGCGCTAATCACTCTGCAAAAATCATCAATGTTGAGCATTTGACATACTCCAACAAGCTCTGGCTTTGGTTTGACTACCATACAGACCTCATGGTACCTTCGCTGTGCAACGCACGATTGACAAACGAAGCCCGCGCTCAGTTACTGCAAGTGTTCCCAACATTTGTGCCCTGACGCCGCGAAGATGTCATAGTCCAGGGAAGCATAAAATGGGAACAACGTCGAACGCAATGTGACCAAAGCAACCGGAAGGATGTGGAAAGTGACCAAGTCGAGGGACGTGACAAGTGTAAGAAGCAGTAGACACGGAGGTTATTACACAGGTTGCAACAAGGGTTGCTAACCAACCAAGCCCAAGTGCTCAGTGCGCAAACCCGCCGACCACCAACCACGAAAGGGCGACAGATGGCGACAGCTCCGAAGCCTTTTTCCTGAGGAGGGCGTCCAGTGCCGCGGTATGGCGGACGCAACAGTTTGCCGAAATCTACCTAAGCTGGAAAATTTAAGCCAAAATACGGCTGTTCGGTACGTATGAGCGATCATAAACAACACATGAACAAACTGAGTCTGTGCAAGAGGATGTGTTGACTGTTGAGTTTATAGTGGATGAATATTAAAACACTAGTACAAGCCCAGAAGTGAGTCAAAGCGGCAGCA